TCGGGTACACTGACAGACGTCAGGTGGTGATCTGACAGATCTGGGTTGCCTACATTTATTTTTCTCTGTCAAAAAACTGGCCTCAAGTGGTGGATCCAAACTACTACTCTGACGTGCAGTCCAGGATAAAAGTCATTTGCTGTGAATCAGAGGTGCCCAATAATGCTGGTCTTTAACCGCTTCCTGCCTGGCTGATAGGAAAATGACGGCCTGGCGGGACTCTCGTCGATCTGGGTGGGCATCATATGTTGTCCTTCCCGGTTCACGCAGGGCCGTACTGTGGCCAGATCGGTCATCGGCTGTGTACCTTGGACACAGCCGATGACAGATCTGTGTACCGACCCGTTGCCAGTACCATGTGACCTGTGACCAATCACAGCAGGTCACATGATGGTTGTAAACTGTGGATGGCTTCCTTTCATGCTATTCATTGTATACAAGTGTGTCTAGCTGTGACTGGTCACAGTGATCAGATGCACAGGCTGGGCCAATCATAAAAAAGAGAGAGGTGCGCCAGACTAAGTGTAGTATAAAAGTCACAATTTATTGCACACAAAATAAAAACACTCACAGGAGGTAGAGATATATCACGCATCAATGATATATAGGGAGGACGTCGCCTGGGCGTGATCCCATCAGCAGGATGGATGGAGTTCCAGGGGCCACAGTTGTACCAGCTGGTACTCCTTGGTCATTCCTGTGGGAGGTGTGAGGAGGGCGGGTGGATGTCCAGGGGGCCGCGGTGCATGTGTGAGCCGGGTCTGCTGGCAGGTGTCTCTCACCTCTCCAGCCAGCATGGGCTGTGTCACGTAGGGGGGAAGAACCAGCCTGGAGCGCATCCAAGATGGCCACCGACCGGAAGTGACGTCAGGACAGGGCATGGAGCCGCAGGAAGGGGGGGCGATGACGCGTTTTCCGAGCAATCAGCTCTTTCATCAGCCAATCGCAGCCTATCTGTGTCATGTGATTAGCCGTGGTCAATCTCCGCTAACAACAAAAAAAACCCTGAATGAATCGATTTCATTCAGTTAAATGCTTGCTTATAGCAAAGAAATTCTTCTTTGCTATAAGCAATCAAACTGTATAAAAAGAAAAACTAAATACTGATCACTTCCCCAAAGTAAATGTTACTATGGTAACATTATACTACTTTGGTCCTAGTGAAATATGAAAAGGAAATCTTAAAAAAAAGAGAAAAAAGAAATAATAAAATTTGCAAAAAAAAAAGCAGTGTTTGTTTTTTTTTTTCGTACTGTCACCAGTCAGTGTCCCTGATCACCGCCACACCTGCTATATGATGGCGCTGTACTGCACTGGTGACAGTATGTACAAATAAAAATAAAAAATTGTGAAATTTTTTTTTTCTATTTCATTTTATTTTCCAAAAAATTATGACAAAATTACAACTTAAAAAAAAACTCGCCATGCCTCTTGTGAAATCAGTTGGATTGTCTATTTTGCAAAAAGGGGTCATTTGGGGGATATCTGTACTGTTCTGACATTTGGGGGATATCTGTACTGTCCTGACATTTGGGGGATATCTGTACTGTCCTGACATTTGGGGGATATCTGTACTGTGCTGACATTTGGGGGATATCTGTCCTGTTCTGACATTTGGGGGATATCTGTACTGTTCTGACATTTGGGGGATATCTGTCCTGTTCTGACATTTGGGGGATATCTGTACTGTTCTGACATTTGGGGGATATCTGTACTGTCCTGACATTTGGGGGATATCTGTACTGTTCTTACATTTGGGGGATATCTGTACTGTTCTTACATTTGGGGGATATCTGTACTGTTCTGACATTTGGGGGATATCTGTACTGTTCTGACATTTGGGGGATATCTGTACTGTTCTGACATTTGGGGGATATCTGTACTGTTCTGACATTTGGGGGATATCTGTACTGTTCTGACATTTGGGGGATATCTGTACTGTTCTGACATTTGGGGGATATCTGTACTGTCCTGACATTTGGGGGATATCTGTCCTGTTCTGACATTTGGGGGATATCTGTACTGTCCTGACATTTGGGGGATATCTGTACTGTCCTGACATTTTTGGGCCTCAAGAAATTCGATTGGCTGTCAGTACTTCAGGATTGATACTTTCAGATATATCCCAGTTTGTGAACTCTGTAACTTTCCTACAGACTAATGCAGGCCATAGACGGTTCATTTATTGGCCGATTTTTCATCCGAAAAACGAAACATCGTTCATTCTGTAAACCGATGTTGCCACCAATGATTGCGAAAATCGGCCATTTTTCACGAATTTTCCAGCATAACCGTTAAACGAAATTAGGAACCGCGAAAATCAGCTGATGCCATTGCCCCACTAACAGTGCGAAAATCGCCCGATTATTCTTTCGGATGAAAAATTGGCCGATAAACGAACAGTCTATGGCCTGCATAAATAATAAACACTGATTTGGGTTCTTTTCACCAAAGACATGTAGCAGAATACATCTCGGCCTAAATTTATGAAGAACAATTATTTATTTTGCAAACTTTTACAACAGAAACAAAGAAAAACGTGGGGTTTTTTTTTTTTTCAAAAATTTTCAGGCTTTTTTTGTTCAGCAAAAAAAATAAAAACCCCGGGCGGTCATTAAATACCACCAAAAGAAAGCTCTAGTTGTGTGAACAAAACGATAAAAACGTAGTTTGGGCACAGTGTAGCATGACTGCGCAATTGTCATTCAAAGTGTGAGAGCGCTGAAAGCTGAAAATTGGCCTCGGCAGGAAAGGGGGTTAAAGTGCCCGGTATTGAAATGGTTAAAAAAAATCGAAAAGAAAAAAAAAAAAGTAATAAAAAATAAAATATATAATTTTTTTTTTCACACTGTCACCAGTGTCCCTAATCACAATCACACCACTTATATGAAGACGCTGCACCGGTGACCGTATGTAAAAATTAAAAATGGTGAAACATTTTTTTTTTTCATTTCTTTTCTTTTTCGAAAAATTATGACAAAAAAATTACAACCTGAAAATTGGCCTGGGCAGGAAGGGGGTAAAAGTGCCCAGTACTGAAATGGTTAAAAAAAAAAAATCGTAAAAAAAAAAAGTCATAAAAAATTTTTTTTTTTTTCATACTGTCACCAGTGTCCCTGATCACAATCACACCACTTATATGAAGACGCTGTACCGGTGACCGTATGTAAAAAAAAAAAATTAAAAATGGTGAAACATTTTTTTTTTTCCATTTCTTTCTTTTCTAAAAAAAACTATGACAAAATTACAACCTGAAAATTGGCCTGGGCAGGAAGGGGGTAAAAATGCCCAGTATTGAAATGGTTAAAAAAAAAATCGTAAAAGGAAAAGAAGTAATAAAAAAAAAATTAAAAAATATATAATTTTTTTTTCCATACCGTCACCAGTGTCCCTGATCACAATCACACCACTTGTATGAAGACGCTGTACCGGTGACTGTATGTGAAAAAAAAAAAATGGTGAAACATTTTTTTTTTCCATTTCTTTCTTTTCTAAAAAAAATTATGACAAAATTACAACCTGAAAATTGGCCTGGGCAGGAAAGGGGTAAAAATGCCCGGTATTGAAATTGTTTAAAAAAAAATTTTAAAAGAAAAAAAAAGTAATAAAAAAAAAATGTAAAAAATATATAATTTTTTTTTCATACTGTCACCAGTGTCCCTGATCACAATCACACCACTTGTATGAAGACGCTGTACCGGTGACCGTATGTAAAAAAAAAAAAATTAAAAATGGTGAAACATTTTTTTTTTTTCCATTTCTTTCTTTTCTAAAAAAAAACTATGACAAAATTACAACCTGAAAATTGGCCTGGGCAGGAAGGGGGTAAAAATGCCCAGTATTGAAATGGTTAAAAAAAAAATCGTAAAAGGAAAAGAAGTAATAAAAAAAAATAGAAAAAAAATATATACATTTTTTTTCCATACCGTCACCAGTGTCCCTGATCACAATCACACCACTTGTATGAAGATGCTGTACCGGTGACTGTATGTGAAAAAAAAAAAATGGTGAAACATTTTTTTTTTTTCCATTTCTTTCTTTTCTAAAAAAAATTATGACAGAATTACAACCTGAAAATTGGCCTGGGCAGGAAAGGGGTAAAAATGCCCGGTATTGAAATTGTTAAAAAAAAAATTTTTTAAAAGAAAAAAAAAAGTAATAAAAAAAAAATTATATATTTTTTCAATTTTTTTTATTACTTTTTTTTTCTTTTAAAATTTTTTTTTTTTAACAATTTCAATACCGGGCATTTTTACCCCTTTCCTGCCCAGGCCAATTTTCAGGTTGTAATTTTGTCTTAATTTTTTTTAGAAAAGAAAGAAATGGAAAAAAAAAATGTTTCACCATTTTTAATTTTTTTTTTTACATACGGTCACCGGTACAGCGTCTTCATATAAGTGGTGTGATTGTGATCAGGGACACTGGTGACAGTATGAAAAAAAAAAATTATATATTTTTTTCAATTTTTTTTCATACTGTCACCAGTGTCCCTGATCACAATCACACCACTTATATGAAGACGCTGTACCGGTGACCGTATGTAAAAAAAAAAAAATTAAAAATGGTGAAAAATTTTTTTTTTTTTTTTCATTTCTTTTTCGAAAAATTATGTCAAAAAATTACAACCTGAAAAATTGGCCTGGGCAGGAAGGGGGGATGGTGCCCGGTACTGAAATGGTTGAAAAAAAAAAATCGTAAAAGAAAAAACAAAAATCGTAAAAAAAAAATATTTTTTTTTTCATACTGTCACCAGTGTCCCTGATCACAATCACACCACTTATATGAAGACGCCGTACTGCACCGGTGACAGTATGTAAAAAAAAAAAGATGGTGAAACATTTTTTTTCGTTTATTTCTTTTCCAAAATATTATGACCCAAAAAATATTACAACCTGAAGATTGGCCTGGGCAGTGAAAGCGCCCGGTATGGAAGGGGTTAATGGACGTGCTGAGTCTCTAATACACGCTGTTCATACATATTGGATGTTTTGTGCCATCAGGAGGTGCTGACCCTGTCCAGCAGTTCAGAGAGTGACGTGGGAAGCGGGGCAAAGAAGACCACCACCCAGGCCAACCCGAACGACAGCGATGATGTCCAGACCATTTCTTCTGGTTCTGATGTAGACGAGGACAAAAAGAACACGACCACCACTACAGGTACAGACCACATCGTATTTTTTTTTTGTGCAGCATTAATCCCTGCGCTCATGTAAATGGCTGTAACTGGATATTAGCAGGCGACGCGACCGATTCTGGCAGCTTTTGTAGTTGATCTGCACCAGAGCAACAGCCAAAAATGCTGGTTGTCACATATAAAAATCTGTAATAGGAAAGCAAATGGATCCTTTAACCACATCATACAGTGAGTGGGGTACAGATCAGACAAGGGGTGCATTTCATGCAAGGGTGGCAGCATCTATCTCTGCCCGTCAGAGATCTCTGTGTATCGGCATCGTACTGTACAATTCCACTTCACCAGGTAAAAAGCCCTATCCAGCTAGTGCAGGTACATAGACGTACAAAGGGCAAATTACATTTGTAGGGTGTGCTGTCCAAATGGTATGCAGAACATTCCCAAATGTTGCTGCAAGTAAGAGACTTTTAATTTTTTTTTGACAATTTTAGGAAATTTAGACTATGTATGGAAATGGTAAGAATTTTTGCAAAATATTTTGGAACCCCTTAGCGCCAACGTAACACAAATATTTGGTCTCGCAGAACTGGGCTTTTTTCCGTGGGGCTGCATATTTGTGTACCTGTCTTTATGCTGGGAGCATGCTGCACGGTGTCACTGGGAGCCCCGGGTCCCGTAGACCCAGGACTCCTGATTCCCAGGACACATGATTGCTGTGATAGCCTCTGATTGGCTATCACAGCAATCATGTGTCCTGATCAGTCACTGTGAAGCCTGCCCCCCCCCCCCCCTTTTTTTTTTCTCTGAATTGTATCTCTCCTTGCAGAGAGAAAAAAAAACTAAGAAAAAAAAAAAAGATAAATTTTAACCACTTCCCATCTGGCCCATGTATATAAACAGCCGGATGGTGGCAGTGCAGGAGCAGGTTGCCATTCATAAACGGCGCCTGCATTTTCAGCCTGTGCGTGCTCCCTGGGAATGCACGGCACCGCGATCTGGTGCCCGCTGTGTCCAGTTTGCTGTATGGGACTCTGTGTGAGGTCCTGATCGTGTGATCACTGATTGGCCAATCAGTGATCACATGAATAGCAGTAAGCAAGATGTCACTTCTGACCTCATTGCTTACTACGTGTGAAATCTGTGAATGATCACAGAGATCACATGGTACAAGGCCCAATCACAACTCTCACAGTTTTCACATAGGCTGCAAGAATGCAGCCAGAGATGAGAAGGAGAAATGATTGCTTTTCCAGCCTTTATGGGTGTAAAAGCAATCAATGTAAAAGCAAAAAAAAACAAAATCTTCATCATTGTCCACAAGTACAGTGTCACTATGGTGACACTGTACTGCTAGGATGACAATATGTTTAAAAAAAAAACGTAAATAATATTAAAAAATAAAAATGTAAAAAAAATTTAGAAAAATTATAATTTTGGGTTATAAACTAATTTTGGTTATTTTTCTTTTTACTAAAAAGATAGCTGAATACTTTCTGGCCAAGATTTATGAAGAAAGATTATTTGCAAAATTTTATTTATTTTATTTTTTTTTTAATTTTTGGACGTTTTCATTTATATAGCAAAAAAAATAAAAATCCCAGTGGTGAATAAACACCATCAAAATAAAGTTTTATCTGTCTCAAAAAAATGCAAAACAATTCAAATGGGTACAGTGTTGTATGACCGCCTCGTGATTACCGATCATCTCCGATGGGGGTGGGATTTGGAGAACTGTTTGTAAACAAAACAGTTCTCCCTGTCGGCTCTTGCAGTTAACCCCTTGATCGCCCCTCATGTTAACCCCTTGATCGCCCCTCATGTTAACCCCTTCCTGCCCAGTGCCATTAGTACAGTGTCAGTGGTTTTTTTTTTTTTCTTTTAATTATGATCACTGTATTGGTAGCACTGTCAGTGACACCAAGTCAGTTCCGCCATGTGTCAACACCTGCCGCAGTCCCGCTATAAGTCGCTGATCGCCACCATTACTAGTAAAAAAAACAAAACAAAAAAAAGCCCAGTATAAATACCGCCATATGTAGATGCTTTCACTTAAACCAATTAATTTACACATATTGGGATTTTTTTTCAGCAAAGACATGAAGCAGAATACATTTTGGCCTAAATTTATGATGAAATTTTTTTTTTTTCTTAATTCTTACTGGACATGTTTAATAGCAAAAAGTCCAAAATTGTTTTTTTTCTCAAAATTGTCAGTATTTATTTTTTTTTTTTATTGCACAAAAATAAAAACTGCAAAGACGATCAAATACCACCAAAAGAAAGCTCAATCCGTGCGGAAAAAAAGTATTTAAATTTCATTTAGGTGCAGAGTTCCATGACTGCGCAATTGTCAAAGTGACGCAGGGCTGTACTGCAAACAATGGCCTGGTCAGGAAGGGGGGGAAATCCTCTGGAGGGCGAGTGGTTAAGGGATATTTTTACTAATAAAGTTGGGTATAACGTTTTGCCAAGTTTTCTGTTTTCCCATTCGGGAGATTTCCCTCTACTTCCTGTGTGTCACTAGGAGAGGAAGTAAGGTGTAGACAGCCTTGAAAACCCAATTACACCTTCCCTAGATGGCTCCAATCATTTAGCTGGAGATGCAAATGTCCTCTAATGGCGGCTAATGTGTGTATGAACTGTGATTCTGGAAGTATGACACTGCAGCCAATCGTATTCATTTCTTGTGTCCACTCAGGTCCAGTGAAGAGACAAGTGGCTGTAAAATCCACCCGCGGCTTCGCCCTGAAATCTACCTATGGCATCACGGTGAAGCCCAACATGGCATCTGCGGACAGAGGTGATGGACTGATTGGCCGGAGAACAACACGGCAGTTTTACGATGGGGAGGAGTCCTGTTACATTATCGACGCCAAACTGGAGGGAAATTTGGGGCGATACTTGAATGTAAGCATGTGATAAAACTGATGCAAAACGTTATTTGATGATATTAACTCTTATGCTTCCTTTCTTGCTCCCTTTCACCCTTTGCTTGCCATCTTTCCTTCTCTTGCTCCCCCCCTTTTTTTTCTTCATGCTCTCTCCCTCCCTCCTTTACTCGCGTACTTTCTCTCCCATCCTGTCTCTCTCGCCAGACCCACCCCCTCTCTCCCTTTCGCTCAATCGCGCCCGCCTGCCCCCTTGCTCCCTTTTCGCCCCCTTGCTCCCTTTCGCCCCCTTGCTCCCTTTCGCCCCCCTGCCCGCCCCCTCGCCCCTTTCGCGCTCGCTGCCCGCCCCCCCATCGCTCCCTTTCGCCCCGCCTCCCGCCCCCTCGCGCCCTTTCGCCCCCCTGCCCGCCCCCTCGCTCCCTTTCGCTCGCCCCCCCGCCCCCTCGCTCCCCTTTCGCTCGCCTGCCCCCCCCCTCGCTCCCTTTCGCCCTGCCCGCCCCCTCGCTCCCTTTCGCTCGCCTGCCCGCCCCCTCGCTCCCTTTCGCTCGCCTGCCCGCCCCCTCGCTCCCTTTCGCTCGCGCTGCCCCCGCCCCCTCGCTCCCTTTCGCTCGCCTGCCCGCCCCCTCGCTCGCTCCCTTTCGCTCGCCTGCCCGCCCCCTCGCTCCCTTTCGCTCGCCTGCCCGCCCCCTCGCTCCCTTTCGCTCGCCTGCCCGCCCCCTCGCTCCCTCGCTCGCCTTTCGCTCCCTTTCGCCTGCCCGCCCCCTCGCTCCCTTTCGCTCGCCTGCCCGCCCCCTCGCTCCCTTTCGCTCGCCTGCCCGCCCCCTCGCTCCCTTTCGCTCGCCTGCCCGCCCCCCTCGCTCCCTTTCGCTCGCCTGCCCGCCCCCCTCGCTCCCTTTCGCTCGCCCTGCCCGCCCCCTCGCTCCCTTTCGCTCGCCTGCCCGCCCCCTCGCTCCCTTTCGCTCGCCTGCCCGCCCCCTCGCTCCCTTTCGCTCGCCCCGCCCCCCCGCTCCCTTTCGCTCGCCTGCCCGCCCCCCTCGCCTCCTTTCGCTCGCCTGCCCTCGCTCCCTTTCGCTCGCCCCCGCCCCCTCGCTCCCTTTCGCTCGCTGCCCGCCCCCCGCTCCCTTTCGCTCGCCTGCCCGCCCCCCGCTCCCCGCCCCCTTTTTCGCTCGCCTGCCCGCCCCCTCGCTCCCTTTCGCTCGCCCCCGCCCCCCGCCCCTTTCGCTCGCCTGCCCGCCCCCTCGCTCCCTTTCGCTCGCCTGCCCGCCCCTTTCGCTCGCCTGCCCTTTCGCTCGCCTGCCCGCCCCCTCGCTCCCTTTCGCTCGCCTGCCCGCCCCCCTCGCTCCCTTTCGCTCGCCTGCCCGCCCCCTCGCTCCCCTTTCGCTCGCCTGCCCGCCCCCTCGCTCCCTTTCGCTCGCCTGCCCGCCCCCTCGCTCCCTTTCGCTCGCCTGCCCGCCCCCTCGCTCCCTTTCGCTCGCCTGCCCGCCCCCTCGCTCCCTTTCGCTCGCCTGCCCGCCCCCTCGCTCCCTTTCGCTCGCCTGCCCGCCCCCCCCTCGCTCCCTTTCGCTCGCCCCCCCCCCTCGCTCCCTTTCGCTCCCTGCCCGCCCCCCTCGCTCCCTTTCGCCTGCCCGCCCCCTCGCTCCCTTTCGCTCGCCTGCCCGCCCCCCTCGCTCCCTTTCGCTCGCCCCCCGCCCCCCTCGCTCCCTTTCGCTCGCCTGCCCGCCCCCTCGCTCCCTTTCGCTCGCCCGCCCGCCCCCTCGCTCCCTTTCGCCCGCCCGCCCCCTCGCTCCCTTTCGCCGCACCCCGCTCCCCGCTCGCTCCCTTTCGCCCCTCGCTCCCTTCGCTCGCCCCCCCCCCTCGCTCCCTTTCGCTCGCTCCCTTTCGCCGCCCCCCCCCTCGCTCCCTTTCGCTCGCCCGCTCCCTTTCGCCCGTTCGATTCCTCGCGCCTGTCCGCCCCCTCGCTCCCGCCCTCCTTTCGCATGCCCGCCCCCACGCTCCCGCCCCCCCCCCCCCCCCCCCCCCCCTCGCCCCCTTTCGCTCGCTCGCCCGCCCCCCCCCCTTTCGCTCGCTCGCCCGCCCCCCTCGCTCCCTTTCGCTCGCTCGCCCGCCCCCCCGCTCCCTTTCGCTCGTTCGCCCGCCTCCTCGCTCCCTTTCGCCCGCCCTTTCGCTTTCGCTCCGCCCCCTCCTCCCCGCCCCGCCCTTTCGCTCGCCCGCTCGCCCGCCCTTTTCGCTCGCTCGCCCGCCCTTTCGCTCGCGCTCGCCTCGCCCGCCCTTTCGCTCGCTCGCCCGCCCGCCCTTTCGCTCGCTCGCCCCGCCCGCCCTTTCGCTCGCTCGCTCCCGCCCGCCCTTTCGCTCGCTCGCCCGCCCGCCCGCCCTTTCGCTCGCTCGCCCGCCCCGCCCTTTCGCTCGCTCGCCCGCCCCCCCCCCCCTCGCTTGCCCGCTCGCCCCCCTCGCCCGCCCTTTCGCCCGCTCGTTCCCTTGCTCGCCGCCCGCCCCCCGCCCATTCACTTTCGCTTGCCCACCCCCTCGCTTTTGCGCTCTTTACTGTTACATTGCCCTTAAATGACAGAGTCACATGAGAGTAAATCGGTAAAGAGAATAAACAAAGAATCCCTTGTACTTAAACTTAGAATGGAGCTATATTTCTGTACTTCTGATGAATTGTGTTCTTATTAACCCATTCCTGTTTGGCCCCCGTGTAAGTATAACAGGGCTCATACGCCAAGGAGGCAGGAAGGTCTGCTTAATCATGTGACCACTGTGATTGGCTGTCACAGCGGTCACATGATCAAGATCTGGTTCCCACTCATTGGTACAGGCCAAGAGCTATCTTTGACAGTTTAGTCTCTGTGCTCTGAGCGCACTATTAACCCAGAAACCCCTACCGCTCAGACGCATGTGCGACATGTAGGCCTTAGAGCCCACCCTCTTTGCCACCACACATGCACTGCATGGGCAGAAGATCTGTAATGAGTGTTTGGAAGTTGCTATTGCTGAGCACCTCTTTTGAAATCTTACCTGGCTGTCATCCTGATCCAATGGATTCAGTTCTTCAGGTTGGCGACTTGAAATAAATGCTGCACAGTGACTGATCATCGTGATGGCCAATCAAAGGCTATCACTGTGATCGGCACTCCTGGTTCTTGATCATTAGTATGAGATGCTGGGAGAAAACGGTAAAAGCACATGTACACATATACAGTCTCATGGAAGATTGCCTTGACAATCCTATTGCTAGCTGTGAGGCAATATCTTTTTTTTTTTTTTTTTTTTTTTTTTTTTTGGAACAAGTTGTGTAAACGTAGGAAGTATTTGATCAGATTTTGGGGATCAACTTACAGCATTTGGTATTGGCATATGGATGCCTGAAGATTATAAAAAGCATGAACATATATTTCAGATTAGTAGCGTATCCGATAGCAGTACCTGTTTGTGTAGCCAAGCATTGCAGAGGTCTCATCCCCCGTTTTGTACTTTGTATTACAGCACAGCTGCAGTCCCAACCTGTTTGTACAGAATGTGTTTGTGGACACACATGACCTGCGCTTTCCCTGGGTGGCTTTCTTCGCCAGCAAGTAAGTAATCTGCTTAACATTCCGCCTATTAAAGGGGGACATTAACCATCGGCTGTGCAGCTTTATGCAGAGCGTTTCTAGCAGCAGGCACTGGTGAGCGCAGTGTATGGTGCCATAACATTGCCAGAGTTGAAGAGCTTTACCTCCTAGAACAGTGATGGTGGAAGAGACATAGCTGCCCATACCATACTTTACCTTGCCTTTCCTTTTTTTTTTTTTCATTTTATGTCTGAGGGTAGACCTATGATTATCCCAAGAATACTTAAATTCACTCACGTTGATTTACTTACCACCTCTGATGGTGAGCTCTTCCAAGCATCCACTTCTTTTGGAACGTTCTTCCTGCTAGTTTGAGGTCATGCCCACCTTCTCCGTCTCAACTTGAGTACTGTCAGTATGAAGCTGAGATCAAGAACACGGGAACATACAAACTGTCAGGAGGGACGTCCGGGAGTAACGTAAGAATGTATTCTTTTACCAAAAGATTATTGGATGCCTAGAATGGACTTCCAGGAGAGGTGGTGAGTCAATCAACATTAAAGGTGGGAATACACGATTAGAAAATCGACCGATTGGTCATCTAACAACCGAGAGGCGTTCGTTTGTTGGTCGAAATCATGGCCCATATTAACTAATCTAAAAAAAAACGTTCGTCGGGCAATACGTAGTGTTGAGGTCTTCCAAGTGGAAGTGATGCGGTGCGCGTGTGACCTTGTAGCCACGCCCTTCCGGCTAGAACGAGCGATATTCACAATTACCAGCAATGAGGATAATATTATTTATTACATGATCTATATACATAATTAGTGATACATAAAATATAATCTGCAGAATTCTGGTTTCATTATCTCATTAGGCCAATCTACTTTTAACATCTGGATTTTTCGTTCGTGTTTACGAAGATTCCTTGGACATAAACATCCGGGTCATCTTCTGTTTCCGCTCATGCGTGATAGCGCTTGATAGATTTATTTTTTTTGGATGACCATCATACCACCGTGTAGAAAATCGGTCGTTTGTATGCAAAACAACATTTTTCACCGGATTTTTTCGTTCACAATATCGTTATCGGTTAAAACATCCTGCTCATCAACGTAGAGAAAATCGTTCGATCAGTGCTTCCGCAGAATTTTTCGGATGATTTTCTTATCGTGTGTATGGGGCATAAGTCTGTGTTGTAAGTAGGGTTGCACCGATGCTGAGTATTTTCACGAGTGCTTGTACTCGTGAACATGCTCCGAATACCTGAAACCGATAGTTTGCAGTGTGATTTGCAGCAATACAAAATTGAACCGCAAAGAATGGCATGTGGTTTGAACAGGAATGCGATTCTTGTCCAAAGCGCATGCGGTTTCCCCATTGCTCTTGTGTGTATCCAGGCTTGTCATAGCCGAGTTCACACAGGAGCAGTGCGGGAAACATCCCTGCACCAAACCCATGGTGTCACAGAAGGAAAAGCTGGGAATTTGAAATGCCTGTGGTTCTCTCTTCTCTCAGTGCAGGGATGATAGTGCAGGCTAGACGGCTTTTGATTGGTCAGCACCGTCACGGCTTCACAGGCTGAGTAGCGATACTTTGCAGTATGATCTATGTCAGATACAAAATATATGGACACAAATTGCACCACAAAGAACCTGCTTCATAGGCCTGGTATTTGAAATCCCTGTGGCTTTCTCTCTTCTCAGTGTAGGGATGACAGTACAGGCTAGTCAACTTTTGATTGGTCAACACTGTCATGGTGCTGACCAGTCAGAAGCCTTCTAGCCTGTATATGTTTACTGCTGCTCAAGGTGGAGAGACTTTTCTTTTCTTCCATACATTGCTTCCATACAAAGTATTGCTACTCATCGGCGAGTACTTGAGTGAAAGTATTGGTACTCGCACTCGACGATCAGAAACGGGTATTGGTGCATCCATACTTGTAAGGGTTGGGATGGCAGATTGCGACTCTGAAAATTAGCACTGTGGTTTAGCAGTTCAGGTTGTGGCCACACACAGCTACAGATCAGTCTGGAGATGAGGACTCTACTAATAATGGAGGGTGGCTCATTCCTTTCTTCACCACTTTCCTTTACAGTGACCATGTGAGGAAAGACATTAGAGCAGCCGTGGTGGAATTTAGTTGGTTTCCAGGTTATGCTAATTCTGGCTTCCTAACCTAGCGAGTCTCTTGTTCTGGAACACATAGACAGCGGGTCAGTTCAGACTTTGCTGACCGCATGCTTAATCCAGGTCAGCGATTTGGTTGACAGTGATGTCCTGATCACCACGGCAGCCCTGGGGCGTGCATTCAGGAAGAAAGCCACCAATAGAACAGAAGTACTGCAAATGTTCCCACTTGACTGTGCCTGTCCTTGCCCCATTTCCTATGAATGAGCGCCATGTGACCTTGTTTTGTAGGAGGATACGAGCCGGCACAGAGCTGACCTGGGATTACAACTACGAGGTGGGAAGTGTGGAAGGCAAGAAGCTGCTGTGCTGCTGCGGGTCCACAGAATGCCGGGGGCGCCTCTTGTAACCTCCATCCTGCCAAATACAGAAACCTATCCATGGTGCTGAAGACCTTCAAGGAAATCTTCCCTAAAGGAAATCCGGCAGCTGCCATTGCTGATCTCTTGTAAAAATGCGAGTTGTCTGGCTGATCCTGTTTTTTTTTTTTTTTCTTTTACTGTGTAACTTCCCTGCAACAAACAGGCAGATCACGAGACCCGAATCGTCGTTGGCATACTGGTCATTGGCATACTAGTCGTTGGCCAGTAGCTTCAAGTAATTAAAAAAAAAAAAAAGGAGCAGCCTAACAGCCAGGCAACTTGCTTTTGAGTCGGCCAGGGCAGCCTCTGTTTCTGTCCAGAAGGGTTTCCTTTAATTCCTCCATTTTACAGTCATCCGTCTCTCGTTGCTTCACCCCCACCCATAATGATGAATTGCGGTAATACAGAGAAGCTCAGTGGCATAGTCTTTATTTGTAGAGTTAAATGTTTGATACTTTTTTTTTTTTTCCATGTTAAAATAAAAAATGGAGTTCAATCTTTAGTGTGCCGTGGTGAAGATTATAGGAATGAACACACCGGGTTTGCCGTCAGTGACAATCGGGCAAATGGTCAGATCTAGCCTGTCTTGCTATTCTGCAGTTTAAAAGGGACATTGTCCTTTAAGGCAGCATTACTCAACCTTTTTTCAGTCAAGGCAACCTTTAAAATTAGGGACAGTCCCGAGGCGCCCTTTAACCCCGAGGCGCCTCCCAGCCCTTTAAGGGTTTTAGAAGGCGGGGTTTAGGGTCATGTGACGTGTTGTTACGGCAGTCACATGATCGGGGAAAGGTCCCAATCAAAAGAGGAGATCAGGACCTTTCCGTGAGTACCGGACATGGTGCTGTTTTTTTTTTTTTTAATAGCATGCAAATGTGCGACTGCTCGGCTTCTAGGCACAAACGGCAAGGCCGCACATTTGTGTTCGGCCGGCGCCAAGAGGTTAAAACTACGGACGGTCCCGAGGCGCCCTTTAAACTTAGGGACGGTCCCGAGGCGCCCTTTAAAACTAGGGACGGTCCCGAGGCGCCCTTTAAAACTAGGGACGGTCCCGAGGCGCCCTTTAAAACTAGGGACGGTCCCGAGGCGCCCTTTAAAACTAGGGACGGTCCCGAGGCGCCCTTTAAAACTAGGGACGGTCCCGAGGCGCCCTTTAAAACTAGGGACGGTCCCGAGGCGCCCTTTAAAACTCGGGACGGTCCCGAGGCGCCCTTTAAAACTCGGGGCGGTCCCGAGGCGCCCTTTAAAACTCGGGGCGGTCCCGAGGCGCCCTTTAAAACTCGGGGCGGTCCCGAGGCGCCCTTTAAAACTCGGGGCGGTCCCGAGGCGCCCTTTAAAACTCGGGGCGGTCCCGAGGCGCCCTTTAAAACTCGGGGCGGTCCCGAGGCGCCCTTTAAAACTCGGGGCGGTCCCGAGGCGCCCTTTAAAACTCGGGGCGGTCCCGAGGCGCCCTTTAAAACTCGGGCGGTCCCGAGGCGCCCTTTAAAACTCGGGGCGGTCCCGAGGCGCCCTTTAAAACTCGGGGCGGTCCCGAGGCGCCCTTTAAAACTCGGGGCGGTCCCGAGGCGCCCTTTAAAACTCGGGGCGGTCCCGAGGCGCCCTTTAAAACTCGGGGCGGTCCCGAGGCGCCCTTTAAAACTCGGGACGGTCCCGAGGCGCCCTTTAAAACTCGGGACGGTCCCGAGGCGCCCTTTAAAACTCGGGACGGTCCCGAGGCGCCCTTTAAAACTCGGGACGGTCCCGAGGCGCCCTTTACAATTAGGGACGGTCCCGAGGCGCCCTTTACAATTAGGGACGGTCCCGAGGCGCCCTTTACAATTAGGGACGGTCCCGAGGGCACTCCATATTAAAATGTGAAAAACAATTCTAAAGGTTTTTTTTACAACGCAGCAACATCCACATTTAGGACACACAACATTAGAGGTGATTTATTCTTCCAAAGCAAATACACTTCTGCACACTGTTACTGACTAGTATGCCAGTGTTTCTCCTCTCCCTCCAGTTTTTCTCTATCACTCAGCTAATGTGACCCAAGCACTGATGGAGAGGGGCGGGGGAGGGTCAAACTAGTATGCTGTGCAGGCAACCCACAGCCTCATCAGCTGATGATGTCATTGGTTGTCAGGATGCTGGCGGATAGAAGGTCATAATGGTGGACAATGAAAACCTGTGGCTTTGTGTAACTAAAAGGCAGGCTTGTTCCCACCCGCTGGCTTGTATACAAGTTTTTGGAGATTTTTAAACATTTTGCCAAGGCACCCTGGTTGAGAGAGGCTGCTTTAAGGAGTCCCTGAACCTTTTTAATAATGATCTTCCCATAAGATTCAGTGCATTTAACACATTTTATGCATGCTATGTGCCTGTAAAATAATTCCTTGTCTAGATATCCAAAATCCCCGAGACTCCTGCTGGGTGCCACATCTTTGATGTGATGTTAGCAGACTCAAGTGACACACTATATTCCATTGTGCACCCCCATGGTCCTATCTGTTCCTATGTGTGGTCTGTGCTCACAGGGGGCCCCGCTAGCCATCCAGTGGGTCATGTACCATCCATAGGAACGGATGAGATCACAGCACAGAAGCCGACCAGGGTGTTTTTTTTTTTTTTCTTGCAAAGACCGTATGGTCCCGCACAGTGCAGAGGCCTGGAGCATGCTGTTCATAAACGGCAGGGCGGTGGCACTCCAGGGGCAGGTTGCCGTTCATAAACGGCACCCGCCTTTTCTAGCTGTGCACGCTCCCTGGGAGCACGCAGCACTGCGATCCGATGCCCGCTGTGTCCTCCGGACACAGTAAAACACAGATCGTCAGACGGGACCTCTGTACGAGGTCCCGATCATGTGATCACTGATTGGCCAATTAGTGATCACATGCAAAGTAGTAAGCAAGATGTCACTTGTGACATCATTCCTTACTACGTGTGAAATCTGTGAATGATCACAGAGGTCACATGGTACAAGGCTATTCACAACAGCCTTGTACCATGTGACAAGGTGTGATCAATCACAGCTCACTCAGTATTTCTCAATGGCTGCAAGAATGCATACAGAGAGAAAGAGAAATTATTGCTTTTACATCCTATACGGGTGTAAAAGCAATCACTGTAAAAAAAAAAAAAAAAAATCATCACCCCCCACAAGGAGTACAGTGTCACCATGGTGACACTGTACTGCTAGGGTGACAAAAAATGTAAAACAAAGGTTTAAAAATTATAATTTTTGGTTATAAACTAATTTGGCTTTTTTTTTTTTTCTAAAAATATAACAGAATACATTTTGGCCAAGATTTATGATGAAAGATTATTTTTTTTTTTGCAAAATTTTATAAGACACACTTTTTTTAAAAATTTTTGGACTTTTTAATTTACATAGCAAAAAAAATTAAAATCCCAGCGGTGAATAAATACCACCAATAAAAATTTATATGGGTACAGTGTTGCATGACCGCGTAATTGTCATTCAAAGTGTGATAGCGCTGAAAGCTGCCCTGGTCAGGAAGGGGGTGAAAGTGTCCGGTCTGGAAGGGGTTAAAGGATCAGCTCGCCTTTGGGAATGTGGTACATGTGCCACTCTAAAAACGGGAGAAACATGTTCCTGTAGCTCTCAGCTTATAGTTTTCAATGAACTACCACGGCGTTCCACAGTTTTATTGAAGCTTCCTGACAAAATATCTGCTTGCTTGTACATCCCCCACGGCGTGCAGATATGACGGGTCTGCAGGAGACCTGCATAGCACCAGTGATCTACTGATCGCTGGTGCAATGCTTTCCAGGCTCCGTTGGACAAAAGTAATAAATGCACATTTTTTTTTACGTGCAAAAAAAGTGCATTTATTATTTTTGTCCAAAAGGTGAACTTATTACTATACAGTATTTATAAAGCACCAACAGTTTGCTCAGCGCTGTACATTACAATGGGAGACAGTACATGCGATACACGAGGGGTTATCCTTGAAGTATTTTAGGGGGTGGCCTATTCTAAAGTGGGTGGTTTAAAAGTGAAGCTTTTAGAAAGCAGACACTGATGAGCATATAAATGGAATCCTGCCTTTTCTACCTGATGAAGATGCATGCTGGGAGGATATTGCCATCCTCCTCCTTGGACTGAAAACTTCTTGCCCTAGTGTTTCACTTGCTGCTTGCTTATGCCTTATCAAAAAAAGAGAGTCAGCAGCAGCTCATATTTTTATTTTGACAGGTTCTGTTTAAAGGAAATCTTGCCTAATGGCCATCTAATTATATCTGCATTTCCCTCTGTGTTATAGAACTCCAATTTATCAGAAGTTAAGGCTGAGACAGGCTCTTGCAAGTTTATTGAATTTGTCTTTGATTTTTTTTTTTTTTTTTTTTAGAATACTGCGTTTGGTTTGATTTTAAGCTGCACATTCTAAGGCAATTTATTCATTCTTTCTTCATGACATGGTCACAGACCTGGAACAATTATTACTATGAGACACTATGGGGTTGGACATGTTCTTAGTATGCAGCTGCAGTAGGGTCTTCAGGCAGGTGATAGGAATGCTGCCATTATTACATAGACCTGAACACTGCACTTCTGCTCAGGTGAGAAGCTGATTTTTGCAAGCGTGCGTGTTCCACAGCTGGCCCCCCCGCTGCGCAAGCTTCTCTAAACTGGGCAGCACAGCAGCTAAAGGGTTGGTACTCCCACCTGGCAGTACTCGGGTCGTTGGTTCGAATTCCCAACCATGGCACCACCTGCCTGGAGTTTGCATGTTCTCCCTGTGCATGTTTCCTCCCACACTCCAAAGACATGCTGGTTAACAACCTCAGACCCATCTCCCTGCTCCCATTTACATCTAAACTCCTCGAGCGCCTAGTCTACGCCCGCCTATGCTCTCACCTCAACGACAACAACCTCCTCGATCCCCTACAGTCCGGCTTCCGTCCCCTACACTCCACCGAAACTGCCTTACTCAAACTCTCCAACGACCTGCTAACCGCCAAAGCTAATGGACACTATTCAGTGCTC